ACAACAACAACAACAACAACAACAACAACAACAACAACAACAACAACAACAACCTGTTTGACCAGGTGTGGGAGACCCCGAGGGTCGTCGATGACCCGGATACCCAGAACCAGCTTTTCCAGGTCGGGGCAGGGCAGCTTGAGCAGCGTCTGTATAGAGTAGCGCTCCGCCCCGCGGACATCCAGGCTCTTCAGCTGCCGGGACGCCAGAACCATCCTGGGAGGGAGGGGGTGGGGGAGGGGGTCGCGCAAACAGAAAAATAGGTCAGATTATTGAAAACTAGGTCAGATTATTGTAAACTAGGTCAGATTATTGAAAACTAGGTCAGACTGTTGAAAAGTAGGCCTAAATAAGTGAGGCATCGTAGTGAAATCAGGTGCTGGTCATAATAATGAAATCAAAGAAATCAGCATTTTTACAGACGTTTGGGCAATTTGTTTTCGAATTTCCCTTTTTGGCTCAGCATCTTTAATATTCATTAAAAAATACATTCATGTGTGGATTTTACTGAAAAACGATCAAAGGCATAAAAGATGTAAATTTGCATTTTCCAAGGACTCTCAAGCTTTGATAGTCACCAAACTTGATCGGCCATTTTCTCGCTAATTAAAATTTTACTTTTGAAACCAAGCAACACCATCTCTTTCAATTGCAAAATATCTCGACTCCTAATCAAGATAGATGTGTAATTTTTTCAAAGAAAGCAAGACAACTGAACAAGCTTTATGATGGTACCAATAATTCCACATGCCCAAAAATTGACGAGCGCCTGATTCCATCACTTCACGACACATATCTATTCCAGCATCGTGCCAAAACAATATTTGGAAATGAGAACATAGAACATCAAAACCATCCTGGGAGGGGGCCTGGGCAAACAGAATATTAGGTCAGCGCATTAGAAAGTAAAATATGTGAGGCAGCGAGGGGAAATCAGGCACTCGTCAAAATAACGAAAGTCAAGAAATTGGCATTTTTCCGCAGGTTTGGGAATTTTCATCGAATTTTGGGGTTTTGGCTCAACACCTTTCATGCTCATTAAATAACACATTTCTGTGTGGATTTTACTGAAAAACGTTGATTAAGGGCAGAAAAAGAGTTAATTTTCAGTTTCCACGGACTCTCAAGCTAAAGAAATAATTCGACTTTTGCGGCCATTTTCTCGCTAATTTTACCTCTGAAACCAGATGACCCTCATTTCCTTCAATCACACATAATAATATATCGACTTCTATTCAACATAGATGGACGTTATCTTCACCTAAAACAAGGAAAATGGACAAGCTTTAAGATGATACCATCAAGTCCATATGCCCAAGAATTGACGAGAGCCTGATTCCACCACGCCGTGCCACATATCTATTTCAAAGTTTTAGTTTTAGTAAGAGTTTTACAACACTTGCAACATTATAAGGTCATACGTCATACAAGTGCCAAAGATTAGAGGTGTTACTAGAGAGTAACAAATACAAAAAAGAAGGAGGAAAGATAAGGACAATAGATTTTTTATAAGAAAGAAGGAGCAGACCACCCCAGAGCACCAACCAAACACTCACAAACATCTACTTCAGCACCAAAACAATCTTTGGAAATGACAATCTTCTTCTCATCTATATCCTCTCACAAAAAGTCAATAAAATTCAAAAGATATTGACAGTGAAATTTGCCAACTATGAAACTCTAAGGAAATCCTAACACATTTTTTCTGCCATTCTGTTTAAGAAATGTTTTGGTTAATAAACTATCGATGAATAGATAAACAGTCTTGTTTCATTAAGCGACCCAGTTACCCACTCTACTTACTACTAAAAGTCTGGCAATAGGCCTATCAAGAAAAGTGTCGTCACTCTTTAGACATTGTTGACACTAGCAGTGGACGCAGGTCCAGTATTACCTGTCCTGGGCAACAACGTCATTGCACACCGGACAGGTCCATAAGAGCTCAGTTCCCCCAAGCACCAAAGCCTGCAAGGTATCCATACTGATTGTTCCGGTGGCTGTCTGATTAAGGCGATGTCTTTCCTTTCTAGATAATTGTTCCTTTCTTCCTTCTCCCCTCTCTATCCCCATTTCCCGCATCCTAACGATTGCTCACCTTTCTATAAAGTTATCGTTTACGGGCAGCGGCTTCCTGAAGTCACAAGGGGGCCCCACCGCAATACAAAGGTCCTCCAGGGACTTGAACCCAGGTGACAAATACTGTGAATCAACAATGATTGTTTTAGTAGAGGTTTTACGGCGCTCGCAACTGCATAAGGTCATATGAGCGTCAAGGGGTGGATGTCAACAGAGAAGTCCTTACAGAGAATCAGACTTACTCTGCTCACCTCTCCAGCTTCAGCAGCATAAAGTCTGCTTCGACTATAAAGGCAACCCGTCACAAGAGAGTGACAAACTTACAAAAGAGGTAGAGGAAAATGATGATAGTAAGTACTAGGAAAGAAAAAGCAGCAGTTCCCTGTTGCAGTTCAGGCACAGTTATAAGCATGACATTGATGAATCAGCCCATTTACAATTACAATTCTACTGTGCATAAGATCTCGCGATGTTAATCTCCCCCCTTTGGGAATGGCCTAAAGACACTTCAGTCAACAGCACCGCCCCGGGGGAGTGAATCAACACACGACGGGAATGAGAAACAAACAACGACGAGGCTCACAGGTCTTTTATTTGTGAGGCATTGTGGTGAAATCAGGTGCTCGTCAAAATAATGAAATCAAAGATATCAGCATTTTTTCTCCAGTTTGTTGACAATTTTTTTCTGAATTAAAATTTTTCTTGTGCTCAATATACCTTTTACGGCCACATATTTCTGAGTGGACTTAACTGAAAAACATTGATAAAAAGCACAACAAAAGTAAATTTTCAGTTTCTGAGGACTCTCAAGCTTTGAAAAATCACCAAACTTGGGAGGCCATTTTCTCACAAATATTACCTCTGAAACCAGGTGACCCCAACCTCCTTTATTCGCAAATATCTAGACTTCTATTTAAGATAAATGGATATAATTTTCACCCAAAGCAAGACAAATGAACAAGCTTTAAGACGATACCAATAATTCAACATGCCCCAAAATTGACGAGAGCCTGATTTCACCACGTTGTGACACAAATCAAAAGCCTGACCAGTTACCCTACTTGGGCCAATAATTCAAAGTCAAACTGTGACTAGTTTTTGAATGAAGTACAATTGAAGTTTAGGAATAACGTCTTTCTAAAATGGTTACGCAGACAAAAAGCCTCTTTGTCTCGAAACTGCTGTGAATTTAAGAAAAGGCGTTTTGTCAGCTTACGGTAGATTTGACAAGCCTATGATAGATCAACATGACATTTGACAAATTTTGAGACAGTTTTGTGACAGTTTTGCGACAGACGGGCACGACATTTGACAAGCCTGCAACAAATCGACATGACATTAGGCAAGTTTTGTGACAGACAGACATGCCATTTGGCAAGTTTTGTGACAGTTTTGCGACAGACGGACATGACATTTGGCAAGTTTAGTGACAGTTTTTATTATTATTATAGTAGAGGGTTTTACGATGCCTGCAACTGCATAAAGTCATATGAGCGCCAAGGGGTGGGTGTCAACAGAGAAGTCTTTACAGGGAATCAGACTTAGACTGCTCACCTCTCTAGCTTCAACAGCACAAGGTCTGCTTCGACTATCAAGGCACCCCAAAATAGCAGGTCACAAGGGAGTGACAAACATACAAAAGAAGTAGAGGAAAATGACAATAGTAAGGATCAGGAAAGAAAAAGCAGCAGTTCCCTGTTGTAGATCAGGCACAGTTATGAGCGTGACATGAGTCAGCCCATTTACAATTCTACTATGCTTGAACGAAATATGTCCCCCCCTTTGGGAATGACCTAAAGACACTTCAGTCAGTGGCACTGCCCCGGGGGGTTGCGACAGTTTTGCGACAGACAGACACGACATTAGGCAAGTGTGGCGACAGACGGAGTGAGCGACTCACAGAAGGCTTCTCTTCGATGTTGACACTGGTGGCCAGCAGGTAGCCCAGGTTGAGCGAGCGCAGCTGTAGGAGGCTGCTCTGTAGCCGCTCCACATCCAGCGCCAGAACGTCCACGCGGCAGTAGTACACGGACAGAACCTCCAGGTTGGGGCACTGCTCCTGTTTAGTTTTAGGAAGCGTTTTACGGCGCTCGCAACACAGTTAGGTCATAGAAGTGCCAAAGATTAGAGGTGTTACAAGAGAGTAACAAACATAAAAAAGAAAAAGGGGAGATAAGGACGATAGATGTTTGATAGGAAAGAAGGAGCAAACCACAGCAGTGCACCCGCTTAGTAAACGCTTTACGGCACTTGCAACACAATTAGGTCTTAGAAGTGCCGAAGATTAGAGGTGTTACAAGAGAGCAAGAAATATAAAAAAGAAGAAGGGGAAATAAGGACGATAGACGTTTGATAGGAAAGACGAAAAAAACTACACCAGAGCACCTGCCAACCACCCACACGCTGCTCCTGGGGGTCACGACGCAGAGATGCTTCTTTTTACTTTCGCTCAGTAAGCGTTTTGCTAGTTTATTTTTCTGCTTTAGTTAGGTTTTACGGCGCTCGCAACTGCATAAGGTCATGTGAGCGCCAAGGGGTGGGTGTTAACAGAGACGTCCAAACGGAGAATCAGGCTTACTTTTAGTTTAGTTTTTATATGGTTTTACAGCGCTCACAACTGCATAAGGTCATGTGAGCGCCAAGGGGTGAATGTCAACAGAGAAGTCCCAACACGGAATCAGGCTTACTCTGCTCACCTGCTTATCCTCAACAGCACAAAGTCTGCTTTGACTATCAAGGCACCCCGGAAATAGCAGTTAACCAGAGAGAGACAAACATAGAAAAAGAAGTAGAGGAATAATGATGATAGTAAGGATGAGGAAAGAAAAAGCAGCAATTCCCCCTAAATGTTGTTCCGGCACAGCAGAGTAAGCCTGATTCATCGTTTGGACTTCTTTGTTGATATCCTACCCTTGGTGCTCATATGACCGTATGCAGTTGCGAGCGCCGTAAAACTTTCCTAAAACAAAACAAACAAGAGAAGGACACTGACTCATTCAGTGGGAGTCAAAGCAAGAGTAAAAGATGGAAGTCGTAGCGAAACAAAAGAAGTACAACCTACAGTGTCCTGCACAGGTGTCATAGGCAAATATATGTGAGGCAGCGTGGTGGAATCAGGCTCTCGTCAAAATAATCAAAATGAAGAAACTTGCATTTTTTCGCAGGTTTGTGAATTTTTATCAGATTTTCGTTTTTTGGCTCAACGCCTTTCATGCCCATTAAAGAACTCGTTTCAGTGTGGATTTTTTCTGAAAAACGTTGATTAAAGGCAAAAAAAATGTAAATTTTCAGTTACCAAGGACTCTTTTAAGATAGCAAATAACTAATCTTTGGCGGCCATTTTCTCACAAATTTTACCTCTCAAAACAGGTGATCCCCACCTCCTTCTTTAGCAAATATCTCGACTGATATTTAAGATCAATGGATATTTTTTTCATCCAAATAAAGACAAGTGAACAAGCTTTAAGATGCTACCAATAACTCTACATGCCCAAAAATTGACGAGAGCCTGATTCCACCACGCTGCCTCACAAATATATATACAAAACCTGTAAAAGTAAACTTTATACATAATCCTAGTCGTGCTGATGTCAAAATCAATTGCCAAAGACAAATTTATTGAAACAAAAAATTGTAATAAATAATATGTCTATTCTCCCAAGTGCTACAAGCAGGCAGATATCATCAAGACCATCGCATACATGTTTAGGTCATACCACTCAATCACAACAGTCTGTTTGTTTTAGTAGAGATTTTACGGCGCTCGCAACTGGATAAGGTCATATGAGCGCCAGAAGATTAGAGGTGTTACAAGAGAGTAACAAACATAAAAAAGAAGAAGGGGAGATAAGGACGATAGATGCGTGATAGGAAAGAAGAAGCAAACCACACCAGAGCACCCGCCAACCTTCCACCACACAACAGTCTGATCTTGGTGTGCACGAGGTAAGAACGATAAATCAACACACTGTGGGGGGTCACATTAGTGTCATCATGACCTCATGCATGACGGAAACGTTTTACTTTTTTTTTTTTTTTTGTGTGTGTGTGTGTGTGGAGAACTTTGAAAAAAAACTCAATTTGGCCGACTCACGCATATTGCATTGATGAGCCAGTGGAAACCGTGCATGAGGTTGCCGCTGAGGTTGAGAGAGAGAAGCTGAGAGTTGTAGCGCTCAACGATGCCCGTCATTGAGCTTATGCTCACCAGGTCATTCTGAAAAAAAACACAAAAAACCCCCCACAACACAGTTAACTCACAAAAGTCCGTACGGCACGCCTTTTTTTGTTTTAGTAAGAGTTTTATGGCACTCGCAACACAATAAAGTCGTGCAAGTGTTGGACATTACAAAAAAGGAGCAAACCACACCAGAGCTCCCCCCAACCACCCACTTTAGCACGTCTTCTGGCTAGATTCTAAAATATTGAATTTTTCTTGTTTCTTTCTCATTATTCCTACTTGTAAAGTAGTACTCGCAGTAAAGTAGTGCTCACACAGTACAGTAGTGCTCACACAGTAAAGTATTATCCACAATACAGTAGTACTCACAGTAAAGTAGTACTCACACAATAAAGTGGTACTCACAGAGGCAGTAAAATAGCACTCACAATAAAGTAGCACTCATGGTAAAGTAGTACTCACAGTAAAGTAGTATTCATGGTAAAGTAGTACTCACAATACAGTAGTACTCACAATAACGTAGTACTCATGGTAAAGTAGTACTCACGGTAAAGTAGTACTCACAATACAGTAGTACTCACAATACAGTAGAACTCACAGTAAAGTAGTACTCACACAGTAAAGTGGTACTCACAGAGGCAGTAAAGTAGCACTCACAATAAAGTAGTACTCACAGTAAAGTAGTACTCATGGTAAAGTAGTACTCACAGTAAAGTAGTACTTACAGTAAAGTAGTACTCATGGTAAAGTAGCACTCACAGTAAAGTAGCACTCACAGTAAAGTAGTACTCATGGTAAAGTAGCACTCACAGTAAAGTAGTACTCACACTAAAGTAGTACTCACAGTAAAGTAGTACTCATGGTAAAGTAGCACTCACAGTAAATATGGTAAAGTAGTGCTCACAGTAAAGTAGTACTCATGGTAAAGTAGTACTCACAGTAAAGTAGTACTCATGGTAAAGTAGTACTCACAGTAAAGAAGTACTCACGGTAAAGCAGTACTCACAGTAAAGTAGTACTCACAAATACAGTCAAGTGGTACTCACAGATGTATGTGAAAGATCCAAGGTAGTGATGTTCGGGCAATGTCTGGTCAAGTACTCCACAATGTCTTTGTTCACCTTGGTACAGTACGACAGGTTGACCACTTCAAGCCTTGGGCAGTTCTTAGCCAACTCCTGGAGTTGAAAAAACCCCAAAACAAAACATGACTGTCCCCGTGGTTTTATGCACCCAGCACAATTTAGCAAAATTCGATCATTTTTTGGGAATAATTTCTGATGATTTTCCTTTCTCATTCTTTGTTAAAATTAACAGAATCGGATAATTTCACATTTTTGGGCTCAGTTTGCGTGATTTCAGAATTTTTCTTGCATAAAACGACGGGAACAGACATGACCACCTGAAGACTCCAGCAGTTCTTAGCCAACTCCTGGAATTGAAAAAAACCCTATAAAACATGACCACTTTAAGCCTCGAGAAGTTCTTAGCCAACTCCTGGAATTGAAAAAAACCCCCCCAAAAACATGACCACTTGAAGACTCGGGCAGTTCTTAGCCAACTTATGGAATTTTTTTTTTTTAAATCGGTCTTCACATCATCTGTTACTAGTTGTGCAAGCCCATAGAGCATGCTGTAGAGGATGTGCACTATATATATGTCATGACGAGGTGGAATCAGGCTCTCGTCAATTTTTTGACATTTAGAGTTATTAGTGTCAATCATCTTAAAGATAGTTAATATGTCTTGCATTTAGCAAAAAAACAACAACCTCATGCATCTTGATTAGAAATTAAGATATTTGCGAGGGAAGGAGGCGGGGGTCGTCTTGTGTCAGAGGTAAAATTTGTGAGAAAATGGCCACCAAAGTTTGGTGACTTCCAAAGCTTGAGAGTCTTTGGAAACTGCACTTTTACATTTTTTGTGCCCTTGATCAACGTTTTTCAGTAAAATCCATACTGATATAGTGTTCCTATATGGACATAGGAAGTATTGAGCAAAAAACAAAAATCTGAAAAAGATTGCTCAACGGCCAGAAAATGCCGGTTTCCTTGATTACATTATTTTGACCAGCGCCGGATTTCACCACTCTGCCTCACATATAAATTCAATCATTATTATCATTATTATATCCAAATTGTTGGAAGAGTCATAACAAATTTATACTCCATCTTTCCACCTTTTGATTATACCTTGTTCTATAATAATACCTTGTAATACGATCTTCAAATAAAAAACCCCCACAATATTATTTAAGACTGTGAAACCAATGTAGACAGCCAATCAAAAGGGTTCTGGGAGAAGAAACTGATAAGTTGTACACTGAGACAGAGAGGAAGTTTGCAATCCTTTTTAGGCATACGTCTTCTTCACCCGTATGCTACAGCATACAAATTTAAGCTTGAAAGTAAAAAAAAAAAGGCGGGGTCACCTGATTTCATAAGTAAAATTAGAGAGAAAATGGCAGCTTAAGTTTGGTGACCTCCAAAGTGGGAGAGTCCTTAGAAACAGCAAATTTACCTTTTTTTTGCCTTTAACTCATTCGCTACGCCGAGCCGTGGGGGTCAGCGCGGCTAAAGTACCGTGCCGTCAGTAGGCTATGCCGCCGTCAGTAGGCTAAGCCGCCCCCGGCGGCTCGAGAACCGATCTTCAATTTTAGCTTAGATTCTATTCCAATCCAAATATCCATGTTAAAATAAAGGTCATAATATAATGTTGACTTCCGGGTCAAGCATTTCCACTGAAAATCGGAAGTTTAGATTCAGTTTTGAAACGCGATTTCGTAGCTTATTTGGCTTTGTTTTATCGCAATGCCAAAATTATAGCCCGGACACTAGTCTTAGTAATTTTACACAACAAAATCTATCATTATTTTGCCCACTAAAGAAGTGTAGGACTCTTTTTTATAATATTGATACGATTGGACTCATATTGCCAATGCACTGTTATAAAGAAATCAATATTTTTGAGTGCCAGATCTAGGTCTAGATCTAAATTTTCAAAATATTTTTTTCTCCCCAAAATCACTACTTTTTGATGAAATTACACAAAAAGTGCCATTCAAGACATGTATAGGTTTATTCCAAATGCAATTCTGAATAATTCTATATTAGATACGAGTGGGTTTTTATATGTTTATGATAGTTTTTCAAGATCATACATTTTTTTTTTTTTTTCAATATCGGATGTTATGATCCAAATGTACAAATATTATGGAATACATGTAAATAACTGCAAACTTTTCAATATTTTCCAGTTCTATATTCATTTATGGTTATTTTGATGTTTGACTAGGTGCAAGCATATTTTTTGAGTTTCACCAAAGATTAGAAAGTTTTTATTTTCAAATTTTTTCCGCATCCAATCAAAATTGTGTTGCATAATCGCCTCTTACAGGAACCAAAGTTGAAAAGTACATAAATAAACATTACAGATGTATTCTACAATCCATAATGAAAATATTGGAATATAATATGTTGGTATTTATTTGAATTTGTGGCCCCAAAGACCTTTTAACTGCCCACTAGTCATCATCTCGTTCGCCCTCCCCCACAAAAAATTCGTCCACAAGCCGAAAATAATACTTAGCGAATGAGTTAATCAAACTTTTTCAGTAAAATTCTTACAGAAATGTCGTTTTTTTTTGGTTATAGTAGAGGGTTTTACGGCACTCGCAACTGCATAAGGTCATATATGAGCGCCAAGGGGTGGGTTGTCAACAGAGATCAAAGTCTTTAAAGAGGAATGACTTAGAATGCTCACCTCTCTAGGTTCAACAGCACAAGGTCTGCTCCGACTATCAAGGCACCCCGGAAATAGCAGGTCACAAGAGAGTGACAAACATACAAAAGAAGTAGACGAAAATGACAATAGTAAGGATCAGGAAAGAAAAAGCAGCAGTTCCCTGTTGTAGATCAGGCACAGTTATGAGAGTGACATGAGTCAGCCCATTTACAATTCTACTATGCTTGAACGAGAAATGTCCCCCCTTTGGGAATGGCCTAAAGACACTACAGTCAGTGGCACTGCCCCGAGGGGTGAAATGTGTTTTTAAATAGACACAAATGGTGTTGCACTAAAAAGTCAAAAATTAATAAAAACTACCTAGAGAACACAAAATACTGGTTTCTTCGATTTCATTATATTTTGACGAGCACCTAATTTCACCATGATGACTATGCCTCACATAGATTGTAAACCGCATACAGCTTGCTGTTGAGGAGGAATTTGCGTTTATACAAATGCTCTATTACTATTATCAAGAGGTCTGGTTTGTTTGTTTTAGTAGAGCTTTTACGACGCTCGCAACTGCATAAGGTCATATGAGCGCCACAAGATTAGAGGTGTTACAAGAGAGTAACGAACATAAAAAAAGAAGGAAGGGGGGATAAAGACGATAGATGTTTGATAGGAAAGAAGGAGCAAACCCCACCAGAGCACCCGCCAACTACCCACTGTCAAGAGGTCACTAAGTAGGGATGAGCACGGAGGGGGGAGATAAAGACGATAGATGTTTGATAGGAAAGAAGGAGCAAACCCCACCAGAGCACCCGCCAACCACCCACTATCAAGAGGCCACTAAGTAGGGATGAGCACTCAACATCTGGAAAGTTTGCACCCACATGAACAGCTAGAGTTGTGATGTCCCAGCCTGTGAGATCGATTTCCTTGCATGGGGCCAGTCGGTTCTTAGCCATCCACATGAGAAAAGGGTCTGTGCGCTTGTTCCAGTAGCAGCCGCCGTAAGGCACCCTCACATACGTCCACAGGCTGGGGTCCCGGCACAAGTCGTACCAGTACTTGCACACCAGAGGGCCACTGAAGAGTTTTAGTTTAGTTTTAGTAGAGGTTTTACGGCGCTGGTAACTGCATACGGTCATATGAGTGCCAAGGGGTGGATGTCAACAGAGAAGTCCTTGCAGGGAATCAGACTTACTCTGCTCGCCTCTCTAGCTTTAACAGCACAAAGTCTGCTTCGACTATCAAGGCACCCCGAAAATAGCGGGTCACAAGAGTGCGACAAACATACAAAAGAAGTAGAGAAAAATGACGATAGTAAGGATTAGGAAAGAAAAAGCAGCAGTTCCCTGTTGTAGTTCAGGCACAGTTATGAGCATGACATTGTTAGATCAGCCCGTTAACAATTTTACTGTGCACTAGAACGAGAAATGTCCCCCCTCTGGGAATGGCCTATAGACACTTAGTCAGTGGCACCGCCCCGGGGGTACACTGAAGAGTGTAGTAAATCTTTTAGTTTTCGTAAGAGTTTCAAGGCACTTGCAACACAATAAGGTCAAAGAAGTGTTGAAGAATAGATATACAGGTGTTACATGAGAGTAACAAACCTACAAAAAAGAAGGAGGAGGAGAAATAAGGATGATAGATATTTGATAGGGTAGATGGAGCTAACCACACCAGAGCACCCGCCAACAGCCCAAGTATATAAAACTGTCTACAAAGCCATGTTCCTGAAAATGTCGACTGAGCAAAACCTGAATGAAAGTGTACTTCAGAAAAGGTTACGGATAGGATCAACAAGAGCAGTAAGACTTCAATCAAATACGAATACAACTAGAAAACTACGCCACTATGCAGAACAACTTTTCCGTAAAGGAGAATTTCCTTTCGTTACAACTACAGCAGCATCCTCAACTACACAAAGAACCTCCCTCAAAAAAAAAGTTTTTAAAGCAAAACGGTTGACTGCATTACAAAGCAGGGAATTTCGTCTGCGGTTTTTTCTTGGTTCAGTATGATAGAGAACAAAAACAAACAACAGGATTCCCTGTCTAGTACATATACACAGGTCTCAATAAAAGTCAAAAGTACCCTCTTCAAGATGTTGGCATCCAGACTAGAAGCAAAATGAACCACGGAACACCCCCTCCCCCCTCCCCCCCCTGCATCTACATAGGTTTGGGATTGTCACTGGTAGCTTTCAAAAAATAAAAAAAGTCCCCATCCCATATGTTTGATCATATTTTTAGTGTATAAAGGTTCTCAAAACTTACTTGAGCATGAACGGATACTGTCGGTACTGAGTGATGTAGCCAAAAATCTTTATCCAGATCTCTGGCGGTAGTTTCGGCAGTCTTTTCCTCCGTGGTTTGAGCATCTCATTCAGCTCTTTCTGCATCCTAAAGAAGCATTCACCGGTGTCTTCGAGGACGAGCTTACAAGCCCTGTGCAGATGCTGTCTGGTGTACGTGGCAGCTTCCGTTGAGATCGTTCTCTTCTTTCTCTTGTGACTTCTGTGAGGACACAGTTGTCGGAGGGGGCTTGCTCCTCCCTGACCATGATCCTTGCTGCTCATGTCTAAAATAAGAGTGAAGTCAAACATGGAAGATTCATCGAGAGACAGGACAAACTAAAAATAAATCAAAGAATTCATGCAAACTAGATCAAACAATTTTCAACACCCTTGGACAATTCTGCCGTAAGCTGACAAAATGCTTTTTTTCATTAAATTTCGGCTCCTAACTTTTTTATTTGCTAAATCAAAAGTCTGATCAGTTACCCTACTTGTGTGACAAAAATCAAAGTGAACCTGTCACTAGTTTTTGAATAAATATAAGAATTCAAATTTTGGAATGACTCTATTTTTCGAAGGTTACACTGACAAAAAAAACCCTCTTTTTTTTCTCGAAATTGCTGTGAAGGAAAAAAAGGCTTTTTGAAAGCTTAATATGAAAGTCACTGGAGACGGTTCCCGCAGCATTGGCGAGCACAAATAATAATTCCTCGAGAGGTGGCTCTCGCACCCCCTGCGAGCACAAGTTTCGAGTTGTTTCCGCGGCAACGTAGGGCCTACGCGTGCGTGCAAACGCTGCGGAAACTGTCGCTTATAGTGCAGCCGACCTTTGTTGTGTTTCGTGTCAAGTTTCGTCGGAATTGGCTGGAAGCTTTTGAGTTATCGACCCGGAAGCAAAGTTAGTAGATCACACTGAAGCCCCACTTTCGTTTCTCTGACATGTCTGTTCTCGCAACACTTTGTCAGTACGATGTCAGCACCTTTAGGTTTAGTAAGAAGAGTTTTACGGCACAAGCGACACAATAAGATAATATAAGTGCCGAAGATTAGGTGTTACAAGGGAGTAACAAAGACAAAAAAAGAAGGAGATGAGATCAGGACGAGAGTTGTTTGATGGGAAAGAAGGAGCAAACCACATCAGAGCACCCGCCAACCACCCACTTGGCAGCACGGAAAAGCAAACATTTTTCAAGTGTTTGACAACTTTGACAGTTTAGAAAATTCTAATATTTTAGACCATGGGGATCCTGATTTCAATGTAAATAAGCATTAAAGCACTGATTCTGACAGTCGAGTGTTCTACGAGGGCTGTCCCACGGAAAACCGGAATTTGGCTGTAATTTGAAAACTATTCAATATTTTCACATTCTGTAAACGCACACTTGTAAAACAATCATTTAGAAATTTCCCGATTGAGCACCATGAGAATCGCACCAACCAAACGAGCACAGCAGTTCTCAAAAGATGGCTACCCCCTTGGAAAATTGGTCAAGGGTAGAAGTGAAGTCTGTTATTCGGTTTCTGACCGCAAAAGGTCTCAAACCTCTAGAAATACACACTGAAATAAAGTCAGTTTATGGGGAGAAAGTAATGGCAAAGTCACAGGTATATGAGTGATGTAGTAAGTTCAAAGCCGGGCACTCCAATATCGATGACAAAGTTTACCCAGGATCTTGTTTTTCTGCCCAGACTGAGGACAACACGAGTCGCGTTAACGAACTTTATCAAACAGACAGGCGCCTAAAAATTCGCGAAATTTGCGAGTCGCTAAACATTTCAAAGTCGACTGTCTATAGGATAGAGTTTGATGAGCTGCACTATTGAAAGGTCTCTGCTTGATGGGTTGGGGACGAAAAAGACCAGCGGGATCATTTTGCAGCATGGCAGCACAACGCCACACACGGCAAACGTTACGAAAGACTGGTTCCAAAGGTTCGGCTAGGAAGTTCTACTGCACCCCCCTCACAGTCCTAACTTGGCCCTGTCAGATTATCACCTTTTTGAACCAATGAAACGCCATATTTCTGGACAGCGATTCACCGACGACGAAGACCTCGTGGAAGCCGTGAACGATTGGTTGAAATCCCTTGACGAAAAATTCTTCAGGGAGGGTATCTTCTCCCAGATCCAGCGATGGGAAAAATGTGTCCAGCCGCATGGTGATTACATTGAGAAATAAAGCACATGTTGAGGTATGATGTGTTACAGTTTTATTATAATAGGACAAAGATTTTTGCTTTTACGGACCTTTTCCGGTTTTCCGTGGGACAGCCCTCGTAGATCTAGACTAGGCTTTCAAATAAATGCAAAATTCCGCTTTGTCAGGAGCCCAGTTTTTTTCACACTGAAGTGGATTAGACAGCTAATACATGAGAAAAGGATAACCATTTTATTAGGCCTGCCTGCCTATTCATGAATTTGGACTTTTTATTCATTTTGAAACACAAACACAATAAAAGATACACACAACAAGGTTAATTTTGTTGTTGTTGGGGGTGTTGGGATTTTTCTACACAAGACATTACATCAAAATTTTAGCACACTACATTTTCAAAAAATAATTTCTAAAAAACTATGAAAGATATATTGCCTTTCTGGTTTTTTTTGGTCATATTATGGGCATGTTTAGACCTGTCATGAGTGTAAAAATGGTGGCTGTAGGTCTTTGGGAAGGGTGTTGTTTGAAAAGTTAAAAAAAAAAACGCAAAATGCCATTTTTCAGCGAATGTACCGCAGGAGACGTCTTCGAATATTTACATATATCTTCTACCACCAAAATTATTAGAAAATCTAAATCATCCACTGCCTGTAAGCTACTGGCATGGGCGATTATATCGGCCAGGTAACAAGACCGTATAAATCTCTGGGTTAGGCTATTCACTATCGGCTATCAGGGATGCCACTCAACTTTTTTGAAAATAGCTGAAAATCCACATGCCATGGTCTCGTTAACATGAATATAAATTTGAAACCCCAAGGGTGTAATAGAGAAAATGACAAACAAACATTTAAGCTATGGGTGTACATAGAGAGAAATTACACAAATAAAAAACAATGGGTGTATAATAGAAAGTGTGTGAGTGGGTTTTTTTCTTTCTTTCCAACTATAGATTTTATCTCGATCTCAATAACGGAATAGTGGATCAGGTTCAAAATACTGGAAAAAAGCGGAAAAGTGGCATCCCTGTGCCATGCTATGAAATTTTAAAAGGTCTAAAATCTAGACGAGAGAGAGAGAGAGAGAGAGAGAGAGAGAGAGAGAGAGAGAGAGAGAGAGAGAGAGAGAGAGAGAGTCAGAGTCAGAGTTTATAATATATTATTAGATTGTGTACTACTACAGTTGAAGTGTGGGCCAATTCAATAAACACACTTTCAGTTTTTGTTTTAGTAAGGTTTTACGGTACTCGCAACCGCATAATAAAGGTATGAGCGCCAAGGGGTAGATGTCACTAACAGAGAAGTCCAAACGGGAAACGGGGAATCAGGCTTACTCTGCTCACCTCTCTAGCCCCAGCAGCACAACGTCGGCGCTTTTTTGGTAGTTCACACCCCGCAATTGTTATTCACGGGTTTTGGCCCCAAGAGTAGGGGGGTTTCAAGGGGGCTTGCCCCCCTGACCTAATAAAAATAGGAAGGGGGGTTTCAGGGGGGCATTCCCCCTGAATTTTACCATAATTTAATGTTTTAAGGTTTGATATCTTAGCTCACCGCGAATCAAACGTATAGATCTAGAGATATAGATCTCTAGATCTAGATCTAGATGTAGATTTAGGTCAAATAAGGGGGGTGGGAACTACCGAAAAAGCACCACAACGTCTGCTTCGACTATCAAGGCACCCGGAAATAGCAGTTCACAAGACAGTGACAAACACAAAAGAAGTAGAGGAAAATGACGACAGAAGTAAAGATTAAAGATTAGGAAAGAACAAGCAGCAGTTCCCCCTATTTGTCCCGGCACAGTATGAGCATGACATTGATAAATCAGCCCATTTACAATTCTACTAAGTTACTGTGCATAAAAGAAGGTTAATATATCCCCTTTCGGAAGGGCCTTAGACAACCTCAGTCAGTAGCATTGCCATGTGGGGGTGGGGGGGAATAAACACATTTTTTAACACTTTTACTAAGTTTAAGTGACAATCAATCATTGACTCACTGTGCAGGAAATGATGATTGAATGATTGATGTATGGACGACAGACTGAGATAATTAAAACGAATTTCAATCTTTACCAAGTTATTCAAGCTGCAACTGCAACTGCAGTGCTACCATTGTAATAGATCTAATCTAGAATCTAGATCTCTAGATCTAGATCTAGATCTAGATTTAGATTTAGACTCTAGATCTAGATATATTAGATCTAGATATATTAGATCTAGAAATCTAGATCTAGATATCTAGATCTAGATCTAGATCTAGATCTAGAATTTCTAGAATCTAGATCTTAGATCTAATCTAGATCTAGATTTAGAATCTAGAGAGATCTGAGTCTAGCAGACTGAGTCTGACTCTGAGACAAGTGAATTTAATTGCCAAATATTCAATAATAATCAAAGTCAGTACCTGTGCAGTCAAACTACAATAAAACAAGTAATCATAGGACAGAAAAAGGAACGCAAGCTCGGCCAGGAAGCAATTCACTCAAGTTCACACCACCACAGGAGTCGGCCCAAAAAACCCCCCAAAACTGCGCACAAAATCCCATTGACTCCGCGGAAGATCGACGGGTTGTTTACATCAGAGATGTATTGATGTCAATGCCGTGGAGATCACTTCCGGTTGGTTTCGGATGCGAAAGGTTTAAAGCTTAAGTTTTTCTCAATAATTAATTTTGTCTGATATTTTATTATACACCTGCCTCATCGCCAAGAGGTTTATTTGATTTTAACATAGCAATAACTGCCCTCTCTCTCAATCCAAGGATATTTTCCATTGCATCCTGAAACTCAGTCCCTCCCTCCTGTCATTTTTTTCGTTCTTCACTTGTCTTTCTTGTCCACTGTGTTGGGGTCACTGCAGTCGGAACATGTCCATCTCTGCTCTCCCCCCCCCCCCTTCCTCAGGATCCATCCCAGAGTCTGTCTGCTTCAGTGCTTATAGTCTCCATCGTAATCTGGTTGGAGATCCGTCGGACTGGTCCGCACAGGTGGCTGTGTTTCTCTTCTCCTCTTTGAATCCCCTTCTCCTTCAATCTACCTTGAATGTGGGAACCGCTATCCGCCCTATTCTTCCTCAAATTTTCCCTTACAGCGGTTAGGACGGTTGGTGTGTCCAGTGTGAAATTCCCTCCCACTTTTGCCTCTCCAGCCAGCTTGTCTGCTCTCTCGTTGCCGGTTACCCCCGCGTGGCCCGGGCAGAAGATCCAGGCCACTCTTTCCAGGCTGCTCTCCCTGATCGTTCCCTTCCAGCCCGCACACAGCATGCCTTTATGTAACTTCTGCCGTGTGCTCATAGAGGCAGTAATGATTACTGCTCGCTGATGGCTTGTGTTCTTGATCAAGTGTAGAGCCTCACTTATGGCTTTTATCTACATACACATAATATGTACTTGATGTTGTCAATGTAATAGCTCCACTTTGCTCTTTCACTCCTACCCTACCCTCTCTGACAATGAAGGCCCAGCCCGATTTGACTCTTCTGTTGACCAATCCATCCGTGAAGATCACAGCATCTCCGTGTTCGCTCTAGGCTCTTCTATCAGGGTTTCAATTTCAGCGTTTGTAGTTCCAAGTGGCCAGTTGCGACATTGTCTACCCAACGTTGCCTCCACTGTTGTGTACTCTCATAGCGCCTCTTCGACCACGACCCAATCGGATCCCTGCCTCTCCTGATGTATTGTATCTGGCAGCACTCGTTGATGGTGTTCGTGGCTTGCGTCATCCATTCTGTGCACCTCTGTGCACCTCTTTAGCTTTGATATCATCGGCCGTTCCACTTTCTTATGTAGAGGGTTCATCTCGTCTGCGCTGACTCGTTGAAAGGCTTGAACTTGTGCCAGTTTGTGCCTCTCGTCTACACATGGGAAGTCTAGGAAGTATCTCATTGCTTCAGCTGAGGAGTCTCGTGTGCACCCCAGGATTGCCCTCATTTCTTCATTTTGTAACACCTAGAGTCGTTGCAGTTGCGCCTTTGATAGGGTCAAGAGTCCGAGCCCGTACTCTACGACAGAGAGTACCAGCGTCTGGTAGAGGATGACAAGGAATTTGGCTCATCTTTGCTCTGGCCATCATCTTAAGGGCTGTTAGGGCTTTTCTCGCCCTGGAGGTTGTTCTCGTGATGTGATCTTTGCCAGAGAGGGTGCAATCAAACGTCATGCCCAAGTACTTCAGTATGGGTTCCCTCTTCAGCACTTTGCCTCCAATCGAGATACTGCATGGTTATTCAGTGCACACCACAGTGCACAGGCTTTGTCTGGGTGCAGTTTCCCGTTGTTCGCTTCACACCACTGTTAAAGTCTGTCGAGTTCTTCCTGTACTCTCTCCACTGTAACCTGGCGGTTCTTGCCTTGTCTGTACACCAGCACATCAGCAGCAAAACTGAGTACACGTCCGGGCCCTTCCAGCTATTGTATTGACGTTGAACAGAACCAGTGAGAGTGCAGATCCCTGTGGTAAGCCTGGTGTGATCTCGGTAGCTTGCAAAGCCCAGCAACCAAGGCGTAGTGCTACCTTTCGTTTGAGCAGCGCTGCCCCAATCCATTGCGCCAAATGTGGATCTACCCTCAGGTTGACTAGAGTCCTCAGGAGGGTGTCGTTCTGAACTCTGTTGTGGGCATCTTCCAGGTCAAGTGCTACTACCAGAGTTTTTTCCCCCGTTCAAAGCCATCATACGTCGGATGCAAGAGTGGCAGTATTCATCCAAAGTGATCTTTCCTCTTCTATAGCTGCCCAGTTCCGGCGATAGGACGTTTTTTTCCTCCAGCTCTATTGCCAATCTTCGTGCCACGATTTTCTCCAGCAGCTTCCAGACGGTATTTTGCATGGTCACTGTGCGATATGAGGTAATCCTGCTTGAGATCTTGTCTGTCTTAGGAACTGGGGACAGGTGACTGTCCAGCCAGTGTTCAGGTATCTCCTCTGTAAACAGGCTTTCGTTTAGCCTCTCGGCTAGTGCCGTTGTCTGTCCTTCCTCCATGTTCTTCATGTAGCCATAAGGTACTCCACCAAGACCAGGAGAAGTGTTGGATGCTTCCTGGACATATTTATGTAACAATTCGTGAGTCGCAAATTGTAGACAGGATTTAGCTTTGTAGTCCTGTTGGATCCTGTTGAGCAGCTGTTTTCTCTAGTCCTCATCTTTCCTGTCAGTGTGTCTTAGGTATCTCTTAAACAGAGCACGGCCTTTTTCTTCATCAGTGCGCATCCACATATCATCATCTCTTTGGAAATAAGGGATAGCTTGTTTGTTCTTCCTATTAGTCATGCACCTGTAGAAGTTCCAGAACTGTTACCTCTCTGTCCCTCTCGTGTCTTCTCAGCGCCAGGCGTTTGACCTTCCACAATGCCTCAGTCTCTTCATTCCACCAGGGTGGCAGCTGTGCCATTACTCTATGCTGTACTCTGGGTGGCCTGGAGCTCTTTCGCAGTGCACTGATGGGGTCGTTGCCTTCCGCGGGGTAGAAGAAGACTCGTTTCTGTCTTTGATGGTTGCTGTTTCTTCCTCGCTTTACAAACACTGTGCATGGGATATGATCGCTGCTATAGTTGTGTAATACTCTCCATGTACAGTCAGTTGTTAGGTCTACCGAGACGAATGCAAGGTCTATAGCACTGTCGGAGTCCCCATCTCTTGTGGCTAGTCTGATCAGGCTGCCACTGTTGATGCAGGTGAGGTCACATCTGTCCTGGGCATTTTTCAATCTCATCCCTTAGGGGTTTATTACTGTGTTTCCCCAATCGCTCCCTCGCGCGTAGAAGTCGCCACAAAAGATTGTTTTCCAGGTAGCGTTTCTTCCATCTCGCCAAGTTTTGCCCACTCTTCCTCAGTGCCTGTTCCGTTGCAGGCGTAGGCGTCGACAACATTTCTTACAGACTGGCCAGTGAGCTCCACTGCAAGCAGGTGTAGGTTTTCGGACGCCCAACGACGCACATCCAATTCCGGATGTCTGATTGCTGATCGTATCAGGGCGACCAGTCCATGCCCTTCCCTATTGTAAAAAGTCGTTGCAAAGTCGGCAACATTGAAGTTCCTGTCACCTAGTCTGGTTTCTTATAAGCATATTGATGTCTGCTCCGTAACATAGGGTCTCAGCCAAGAGCCCTCTCTGCTGTAGACTATGACAATTCCAGTAGATAATCCTAAGATTACTCTTTCCCAACCGCTGGCTCTTTAATTGTGTCTTTCTAGCTCCCGCCCTTCTCTTTCTCCACCTTCCACCCCTTTTTCGCCCCGTTTCCTTTTTGACTTTTTTCCTTAAGAGGAGCTCGAGCAAGGAGCACGAACCCTCTAGCTCCTGCCATAACCCTGTTCATTAATATTAATTTGATCTTTCATTGTGGGTTTACAAAATACAATGTACTAAGGAAGTATCCTGTCCATCTAGCAGAGCCTCATACTAGACAAGGGGCTGGGAACCAGAGGGTCCGTCCGCCTGGTGCCACCCCGCTCGCACGCCAGACAGTCTTCGTTCGTGACTGTTCTCCCTACAGCCATGCAGCTTCTAGCCGCTCACAAAAAACCCCCAACAAACAAACGCTCCTAGGGGAAAATTCTGCATTTGATTACGAAATCGAGTGACTAATCATGACTATGATGACACGTCATATTTCCAGCCGAGATATGAGCTGTTGCCCTCAAACAAAGACTCAAAGAGTCTACATAACAAGAGGGTCCACTCCTCTCTTTGAGCCAATTTAAAAACGGTCCTCAAAATTTGGTGGCGCCCTCTTCGCAAATGCGCACCCTTTGCGAACAGAGTTACCTTACTTGTTTTTAAAAAATCAAAGTGAAACTAACAAGATTTTGAATAAATAATAATTCAAATTTCGGAAAAACGTTTTTTTTAAATGGTTACGCTGACAAAAAAAACCTCTCCCGGAGGAAGGGGTGAGTGTGTTCTTCGTTTAATTTGACTTTAGAATGAAAGGCGAGAGATCATTAAAATAACCCCCCCCCCCCCTAAAACTCCGCACTGAACAAACCCGAACAGCTGATGAACAGCAGTCGATCTGCGCACGCAAGGAGGTGCTATTCCTATTCTTCTTCGGGAAAAACGAAGGAGAGCTTCAAAACAGACTGCCGCGCCAGAAGAAGAAAAAATAAATTGGCACAACGGGCTACTTTTTCACCAGACACCTATACCAAAGATTCTATACCACCGCTTGGAATTGGATGGGGCGCCTTCAGAAGTTCAAGACTTAGTGGGAGGAGCAGAACGCTATGAAATCAACCATTGCTTGGAACCGTCAGCATCTACACACTTCGAGATGTGCTTCTTCAGGGGACGGAGCGCTTATGGGGATGCCCCTTGCGCAGTGAAGTCGGTCCTTCACCACAGAATTCTACACTTATTATAGAAACGGAACTCCCTCTTCGCGATCGTCGATTCGCTGTGAGGAATTGAAACTAAAACATGGCGGCCTGTTGAGGGCAGCTTTGGCTGCGTCGAACAGCGAGGCTTCGCGTTGCTATGCACGCTGATGCTTGTGGTAGGGCTTGGAAGACACCTTACATCAGTATTTTAAAACTTTCTTCGAAAAGGAAATACAGTGAAATAGTTTAATACATTTTTATTGCCAACAATATGTCATAATTGGCAATGTTACAATGTTTTTGTGTTGTTGGTTCAGTTTTTTTTAAAAGGATGGGATGGGATCTAGATCTAGATCTAGATACCTTAGATCTAGAATCTAGATCTAGATCTACTAAATATCTTCACACTCACAATACACTTGATAAGTGTAGAATTCTGTGTCCTTCACACAAGTAAACAAGTATCTATACCACAGAAACGCACGTTACCCCTATGGAACTACATTTAAATTCAATTCCAAGAAAGCCAATTTTCTGTGCAAAGGGCTTATATTCTTGGCCTACCCGAAGACTACTCTCATGGGTATGTCTGCGATATCTACATGATAATAGTTTGATGACGCATACAAATGCAGCGAGAGATCAGTGTAGGTTTCCCCCGCGTAGTTTGTGAGCGAGAAATAAAAGATCACAGACCACCCTTATAATAACGGATACCGACAGGCAGTGGCGGCTCGTGGTTTATAGAACCGACCGGCGGTCCTTCACGTCGACTTTATTTCCCTCCCCCACCCCCTTCCTTAACAACACACACTCACACACACACACACACACACACACACACACACAC